AAACTGAATCAATGAACGGCGCCCATAATAGTTTTAGACTGAAGGGCCAAAAACTAAAACTAAATGTACCCAATTCTTTCCATGGACTACCATAGATAGCTAATAATAATGGGATACAGCTAGCGATACCGATCGTAATACCTTGAAGTATATACAAAACTAATAGTAAATTTATATTAACAATATCTTTGCGCCAGTTCTGCTTAGGCAATGCTTCTTTCATTTCCTCTATATACGATATATTGAATCAACTATATCTGCACAAACTAAACTTTACCAATGGTAAGAGATAGCAAAATGTATGCTATCTCTTACCATTGTTAAATAAAGCTGTATAGTCCAAGAAAGAACAAATAAAAGTCGCTGATGACCTGTACTCACCTTTTAAGGTGATTAGAGTAGACCAAAACTAATATTTTTATCTTGCTGCTTCAGGTCAAAGTATATTCATACTTATTTGTACTGTGTATTATGCAAACTTTCTCTTTGCATTTAAATATTGCCAATAAGAGAGAAACCAGCTTAAAAAGCATGAAAATATACTATTATTTTATGTATTTTATTTGGTTCTACACTATTGATATAGTGTAGTTTGTGCGGATATAGTTGATTCAATGTATCGTATATAGAGAAAATGTAAGAAGCATTGCCTAAGCAGAATTGGCGCAAAGATATTGCTAATATGTATTTACTATTAGTTTTGTATATAAAATGGCATCTGACACCAAAACCTGCTCAACCATCAGCCAGTAGTGAAGAAAGCGATGACATTTTAGCGGCTGACAATCATGAACAAAGTTTATCTAGATGAAGCTAAGTTTTATGTTTTTTGTTTTTAGAAAAAAGAGTTGACATTTCTGTTCGACAATCCGAGGTATTATTGTTAAGAAAAATGCGTTAAGTCCTTCTGCGGAACCGTATAAGCATCCAATGGCTAGATTGGGTCGATTACATTGACTCCCTTTTTTTTGTGTGTGTGTTTCAACATTTTTTATTCACGAAATAATAGTAAAAAACAGTACGACAACAAAAGAAACACGTATACGACAAATCGGGATACCCTATTCTATGCCGGATTCTACATGAATACTATAAAATAAAATGAGTATATAAAGAAGAGAGATTGTAGTAGTGTTGGTGAAGAGAGAGAGAGAGAAATGGGAATTGACTTCTAAGACCCACTCTATCCATGTGACATTCAACTCATGG